GTTAATTAAACTATGATTTGCCAGTCTGTGTGCTGTAGGTAAGCTTCCAATGTTCACAATCAACCTCCAAATGTTGTAGGTTATTGTATAATGTGCACCCTGAATGCTATGAGGCTGTGTGTACAATACAATGGCCCACTGGGGTTACTTAACCCCTGCTACTCTGTGGTGGATGTCAGGCACATACAGCCACCATTTTGAATCTGAAAAGCATGGGTTAAATAATCCTTGCATAACCCATAGTTTGTTTTGGGGTTATGTCCCTCGTTCAGCAACTTCACAAGACAACCCACAACCATGGGATGCATGTGCAACCTGATGCCGAAAGGCACCACAGCTTGCCATGACAAACTACAGTGTGCTGTACAAATGTAAACCTGAACCCAGTCTAACTCAATTCCTTGTGGGTTAAACAACCCACCATTAGTTTACAATTAGCTCTTAATTTAAGTGGTATCACACAAGTGTGACAAATAGGCCTCAGTGGGAAATGGTATCCTCAAAATGAAGCCAATCTTATTACTTAGGAAGGTTCACAGCAGATCAGGTGGTCCCTTAAATAGCCATTTAGGATCTCAATCATTAAGACCAACACCTTGAGCCTAGTCTGGAAAGCAAATGACAATCAGTGTAGGTCTTTCAGGATATGGTTCTGATACCATGCACTCATTAGCAGCCCAAGTAATAACCACTTTGTCATACATGGCTGGACATACATGAATGAGATTTACAGCCTGAAACAATTTACAGTGATCAATGACATAATGTTTAATGCAAAGCTTTAACTATTAAAGAAAAATATCCCTGCAGTCCTATGTCTTTCCAATGCAGTAAGTTCATATAATCTCAACATGCTTAGACATTTTGTCGCTGAAAAAAGAGCAATGGTGTCTTTCTTCAAGAAGAAGAAAATTAGGCCCCCAATGCCCTCTGCAGTCATACTGTGGCATGCTGACATTCATCCACAGCACCTGGATACTCTGTATCAGCACAGCTTGTCTTTGTTAGCAGTATCTTGCTGGAGACATGTACTTAGCTGAGTCATATACTATATTTAGATCTGAACACATCATACTATGCAATTTAAAACATTTTCACTGGGACTACGTTAAGCCATGATTCTAGTGATCGATGCCATTAAAAAAAGATTAAACACATTTCTGCAAATGTTAAGCTACAATCAAACAACCAAATCTGAATCACACTTACCATGTCTAGATATTGTTAATTTGAATACCATCACAAGAAAGGTATTATATTAAAATCTTTATGTTGATACCCGGAAATCATACACTTAGCACCAGGGCATTAATTTGGACTGTTTGAGGGTAAGGGAACAGAATTTGCTATAGAATGAATCAGTCTAATTCCTTAATATTTTTATATTGATCATTTCATATTACATGGCTTAGCATGTATTTCTTCAGTCGGTGCCTACTCAACAATACTAAATGTTCTCAAATTTGACTGAATTTATCCTTCATTCAACTTAAAGTATCTTAATGATTGAGTTTAATTCTTATTTCTTTCCCATACAGTATGTTTTAACTGTGTTATATTATAAAATGAATTCAAAATTTACTTACCCATAAAACAGTTCTGTTGCATATCTTAAGAGGTCATGCAAAAGATTCAACTGGGAATTATAAGTCAGGATAGAGATTATGATCAAAGAGGAAACTAAATGCAATTTAAAAGACAAATCCACTAACGTTTTCCAGTTAACAGAGGAGCTTCATGATCATGTCACATCTGAACTCACGTGTAAAGGAAGATGAGAGTTCATGTGTTCCCATGACCAATGGGAAGAGATTTAATCATCACCCCATCCCAGAACCATCAAGATCACAATGGATTTTAGGGCCACTTCTAAAGTAGTGTGTATACAAGGAGTTCCCGGGTTACAAACGAGTTCCAGTCCCGAGAACATCTTTCAGTCAAATTTGTATCTAAGTCACGTACGCATAGGCCATCTTTAGCATGAGTAAGCCAAATGTTTGTCTTAGTATACATATGTTTTACCTTTCTATGCATATTAAACACTTAAACACTTCCATATACAGTCAGCCCTCCACATTCAAAGGGGTTAGGGGTGTGGGACCTCCATGAAAGTGGAAAAACTGTGATTATCTAAGCCATCCCCAAACGTTAACTTTTAATAATGTTTACCATACAATTAGTGGATTGCTTCTTTCTCTCAAACTTTAATCTGATCCTGCAAGGTTCTCCCTTCTTTATTACATTCTTATGCTCTTATTTCCTGCACTTCCTTTCACTCACCAGAGCCTCCTCTTTGTACCAAGGAAATGCAGGAAGCTGCAAAATTCCAAAAATTCTGACATTTATTATTACAAACTGCTTGCCTTTAGCTAATTTTTAAAAAATTAATAGGGTTATGGCAGTTCGCTAATAAGTATGGATGTTTGTAACTCAGACATTTGTAACACAGGGGCAGCCTGTACATGCTAATGAAAACGAGAACTTTGGTGAACTCTCATGAGAAGACATGGAAATCAAACCAAGCAGAGTCATTCATATTACGGTGACTTGCATGCTTTTGTAACCCGAACACTGGTAGCCCTGTGAAGATGAATTGGTCAGACAACTCTTGTCACCTAGTGGGCTTCATGGCTGAGCAGAGACTAGCACCCAGATCATCTGAGTCCCAGTCCTGTACTCTTAACCACCACACCAGCTCTCTATAGTAAATATCTTATTTACTATATATTCTATATATTTCTATATTTTTAAGATAATTCTTTGAGATGGTTTAACACAGACACCACATAAACCATTAAAACACAATATAAACAAAATAACACAATAGTAGCATGCCTAAAAGGTCTACCAACACATCTAAATTGTAGGTACAATGACAAGACTATCAGAACTATATATATATGATATGCAATTTGGGCGCAAAGGAAGGAAACTTTGGATTGAAGTAATATTTGGAATCCTGTAGGTTTATTCTTTAGACCTAAAATGCTCATAGACAGGGAAAATATGGGCATTTGCATGGTGGGATTCAAATATGCCTCCCAATGCACACACGTGAGGAGTGGTGACAATTTCTTGTCCAGAAGGACACAAAACTGAACACAGCCATTTAATGGTGCTGATATAACTCCCCAGAGAGCTTCAGCTGTGGGTCAGTGTAGAAATTAATCAATCAATCTCGGGTGATTGCTGCCCCATTTTTCTTCCTTTGCAAGGAAGAAGCACCTGCCATTACAAGGCGAAGAACAAATGGAAACAAGAGCACTGTTTACTGCCACATTTGTAAGCATGCTAGAGTCATTTCCTTCTAGGATGAAGGGCAGATGAAGTTAGAAATCTTTTGATTCCAGCAAGAAAGGGTTCCTTGAAGTATCAGTTCAAGTTCTGAAGTTGGCTGGCAGGCCTCCTTGTACAACAGTGAGTAGGACTTCCTCTTGACACCACCAGTTAACATTGCCCACTTCCATTTGTCATGCTAAGATCTTTGCTTGAGGGTGAACTATTAGGAGAATCCTCTAGGTTTTGTGAGCTATTTATACTTTGCAAGTGTTGAAAAAACCCTTTGAGAGTTTGAGTGTCTGCAAGAATGCTCACAAAACCTAGATGACTTGTGACAGAAACATTGCTCTAGCTTACTTATTTTCTGTGAACTTTTTGCCTCGAAACAAAATGTTCTCAGGACAGCTCACACAGTAAAACATAGTATGTTAAACTGAAAAAGCAGAGATGAGAAACCTCTTCATCTCCAGGGTAGACCAAAGATCACATGTCTTCCAAGCCTTCTTCATGCCATCACTTTTGTGGAGACTTCTGATATCGAAAGAGCACCTTTCTCCTTTACCAGGTCACCCAGTCACAGAAGTCATCAGATGAGACACTCCAGGTGGTTCCTCATGGGCCTGCAGTAGATTTGAAGTCCACACAGAGTAGGGTCTTTAGTGTATTGGCTCCCTTTCTATGGAGTTCCTTCCCCGTAGATGTCAGGCAGGCACCAACAATGTTTTGTTTTCAGCACCAGTTGAAAGCGATTATTTGGACTAGACTTCCCTGACTTACCAGCCATGGTTTTATGGGTACAAACTGACTGCAAAGATTTTAATTCTGTATTTCTAGCTGCTGCTGCACTTCACATTTCATTATTCACTGCTGGTAGATTTTACTGATTTTAATAAATATTATTTATTGTAGAATACTATATAAATCTTGCAAATAAACTAATCAATGAAATTAGGATCCCAAATTCTTAAACTTGCATGCCCATGAATAAAATTCTATTTTTCAATAGGTAATATAAACCATATAACTTTTGTACATTGTTCTCACTTAATAGCCATATGTTGTTAAAAATATATGACAATGTGTTCTGTTCAGGATTAAGAGATTATGATACAAGTTTGTCTCTAAATATTTATAACAGGAACAAATTAAGGGGTTAATTATTAGTGACAAGCCAATTATGAATAAGTTATTCGACCTGACTCTTGCATACTGCTGCTATATCATCATTCTGGTATAGCAAGTACCTTTTTGTCCTTGAAAATCAAGCAGTAGGCTGATCAGAAAAGGGAGGAAGCCCATGCTGGGCACAGGTGAGTGTCAGCCACAGGCAGAAAGACTGAATGATCTAAAAATGCCTTCCCCACTCCTAGAATTCTCATCCTTCATTGTTTGTGGAAAAACTGCTTGAATACCCATGAGCACAAGCCCCACAGAGACTACGCATGAAATAATTAAATGCTCTCTAATTTGTTGAAAAGAAGTACCATTTTACAGCATTACTGAGTACTAAAAGAATAGGCATTGCTTCAAGCAAAACCACTGAAAATATCAAGAATATTAAGAAGACATCTTTGCCACTGAAGCACTTCTTTTGCATTTCCAGGGCAAATTGATGCTGACATGGATTGGGTGGGGGGGGGGGAGATGACAACATGTTACATGAAAATGTGTGTGCTCATTGATTTGTTTCTTAAAGATTATTCCCTTTCCTTCTTAAACAGAGATGAAAAGTAGCAATGAGAGACTGATTCTGAACACAGCAGAATTGAGAGGTAGAACAATTAATCCTTATTCTGCTAGCCACTTTTGCATTCAAATTCATACTCACAGTTGATTTCCTCTTGTGTGTGGTTTCTTTTGTGTGCTTATAACTAGGAGACAAAAGGTAAAGGACCTCTTCCCTTGCTATTTTTCCAATTAAAACTACATCCCTTGAGAGGTATTTTTAATTCCTTCAAATCTGCCAGGAATGTATTGCATTCATTTGCAGATAACCTATTTTTTCTTCATATATTGAAATAATCCATAAAAATTAGCTAATTGTTACCAAGTGCACTGCCCACAATTGATCTTGAGCATTGCTCATATAAAGACCATCACATTTTTCTTTACTTCTGCTCCTGCCTACGAAGGAACCAGAGCATTTTATCCAGAGCAAGGGACAGACTTGAGTTACACCAACCTTTATGTTTTCATAAATGGAGGTCAACCATCACTTCTTTGTCTGAAAATGCAAGATGACATCTGATATCTGCAACACTTGCTAGTGTCTAATCCATTCAGTTGACAATTTTCATCTTGATATTGAGTCTACATTGAGTCTGTATCAACATGCATAGGATTAGTTGGGGTGTGCATTTTAAATCAAGACTCAGTGAGCTGAATTTAGTTCCCACTGACACAAATAGAACTTTAGTTAGCTAAAGTAGTCTGGATCCAGCCTCATGCATTTAGACCTCAGGGCCTACTTCAGAGAGCAGCAGGAACAAGGAAAATGCATTCGGTAGGTAGCACAGAAACATCAGCTTCATCAGACCTGATATAAAAATGAAAAGCCCTACCTTTTCCTTGCTCAACTTGGCCATTTCTGTTTCCAGCTTTGTCAGTTCTAGGTAGTGAGCCCAAGAACCCTAGAAATGTAGATTCTCTAGGTCTTCATTCAAGTTTGGCAATTCATGGCCAACCTGACTTAATGAAACAACAGTTTCAACAGAGAGCTTGTACAGCCAAAGAAGTTAAAAAGCATTCAATTTTACCACCACAGGATATTTCAGCCAAGGAGTAGACTATGAAGCTGTACAAAGGGAGACTATTTGTGTGCAAGTTCATATGAAGTAACGTTTAAGGACTATTCCTAACCTGCAATTCTAAGTAGTACAGGAAGGACACATTTGTACGGAATAGATAGCATATAAATTTCTCTGGGAAGGAATCATCAGAGGTGCTAAATGTTTCCTCAGACACGTTTCACAATCAACAAAACTAATAACACTTTGGGTAGCCATGTATCTTTTCTTGTTTGTGAAGAACTAGAGGTAAACTATGAACCGGATTTCTAATTAATCTTAAGGTAAAATGTAAATTATTTAATGAATTAATATCATTGACTGATTTAATTAACATTCTATTTAGTTTTCAAAAAACATTTGTGAAGCAATGCTGCCAAACATATATATATCTATAAAGTCAGTGTAATAACCAAGTTAGAAAATTAATGCATTGCATTGCATTAATTTTATGCTCATGGCGTTTTTATATCTCATCATCTATCACTTTGGACACCTAGAGTTTTGACTGGACCCAGTGGTACACCCGACTTCTACAGTTTGTGAATCATTTCCTGCAACTACTTTGTGAACAGGTAAATCACTGATATTTCATCCTCCTACTCCTTTGCAGCAAGTCTCATTCAGAAGTGAAATTAGACAAAATAACTTCCCAGCCTGGAGGGTTTAATAAAACTTGTTAAAAACTTTTGCCTGTCTTTAAGAACAGTCAATGAATATATGCTGCATATAAAAACATGCCTGTAATCATAGAACATGTATAAAACAGTTTCTAATGAAGATAAATTTTTACATGCAGTGTTTGTTCTCTAGAGGCCCATTCTCTTCCGGGACATTGTCATTTTTGGCATGAACAGCAAATTTTGAATTTGAATTCTTATCAATCAGTAATGTGTTTATTAATCAATACGAAACAATCCCATTAGTAGTATTTTACAATATTATACATATTTTACTAAGTTAAGCCAAATGTGCTTAGAGTATCTGAAATACACTATAACTGCCACACAGTAAAGATATACTACTACTGTATTATATTGCAATAAATCTGGTCATAGATTGCTTCCAAATATTATGAACTTTCATGAAAGCCTGAACACCAAAAAATACAATACAACCATCTAGAATGAGAGAAGAGAAAGTAGTAAAGAACAAATTCAAAGAGAAACAAAAGATAATGCCAAGAACTTCTCTTAAGTACAGATATTCTTTAACTGGGAAATCTATGTTCCATCATAGGCACTCCACAGAACATTCACTTAGCTGCAGGAGACAGGGAAATGAACATCAGGAAATTGATTCTGCATGCAAATATATACATGAAAGTCTTTTTTAGTGGCAGTCCATCCGTGTATCATAGTCCCTTGTTCCAGGCCTATTTACAAACAAACAAAATCAAATTATCTGTGTACTTTCTATCCAAAGGTTAGGTCCTTAAAAAGCAACCTATAACTCAGAGCAAGTAAAAGCCAAGAATTAAGTAGTAAGCCAAGAAGTAAGTTAACGCCAAGAATCTTTTTCTCTGGCCAGGATTACAGGTCTAATATAAATTCCAAAGAACAAACATATTCAGATAGGTGAATTATTAACCATGAGAAATGGAAAAACCAAGTTCTGTGACACTGGATCACACAATGCTCTTGTATTTGTGAACAAATCAATTCTAGCAATTATTTGAATTGTGTGTTCCTATAGAGAAACAGTACATTTGTATACCATCTATACTACAGTCCATTCATCTATTGGATGTTTTGGCTTCAGTTTGTCATAGTGAGCTGTCACTTGCTCACTTATTATTCCATTTTGGGCTGTCACAAATGACTGCACAGTGTAACTGATTACAATGAAATCCTTTCTCCGAGGCAACCACTTTATTTTAAATTATGACAGAAGTTTCCTACAGTTTAGAAGAAGTGAACTACGAGGCAGACTGACCATTTTAAACTTGTTCTCTAATTTAAAAAGAAATCAAGTGAAAGAAATTTGTTGGCGCAACGCAGTCTGTAGGTGGCTAGTTTCCTTCTTGTTATCTGTCAGAAATTTATTAGCACTTCTGGCTCCAATGAATAACTACAGTGCAAGGAAACAATCAAAACTAGATTTTTTTTAACAAGTACTGTGCAGTAAACAAAAGGCAGCATTTTAAACATGTATATATACCCACCCACATACTCTGTATTTCACTAATCCCCACACCAATAAGCAAAAAGCAGTTCAGATATTTGAGTTTTCTAGAAGTCTGTGAATAATATGATGATGATAGGGAAAAAGGAGAAAAACACTGTTCCTGCCAGAATCTGTCATCGACACAGTACATTTTTTCTCCTTTCTTGTACCTGATAGTCAAAAGAATAGTGTGATTTCTTTACTTTAAACAAGGAAAACACTACTCGCCTTCAGATGGCGTACAAATGCAATTTGGACCTTTCACAGAAGCAGTTCTTTTTGAGGGTCACTCTTATAATGACTTCCTGTTCAAAAAGGTCTCAGCACTGGTGTAACAAATAAAAGCAATGAAGCGGTGCCAGACATGTAATTAGATTTAGAACTATTTCTGCCTGGTAGGTGACCTTCTTCCAAGGGACCAGTACCCATACAAGTATGTACAGCATCTTTTCCTTTCCATTGCTCTCCAATATGCCACAGGAAAAGGGATGTGTTTCAGTTTAGGCCTTCTCGCCAAGTGGAAGCAGTGATAGAAGTTCCAGGTATGGTCTTTCTTGGGAGGTCATTCTCAGAGCAATTTGTTGCCCCTCACTGGTGGTATGCTTGATGCACAACACCACCATCTACAGTCCAAGTATGCCATAGCTGGGTGAAAGAGCTCAAAGAATACCAGTTTCTATACCTGCCTAGAGCTCTACTCCAACACTGGAAGCTTTACTCCAATAGCTGTACGAGTAGAAACTGCTAGCAGTATGTACTCTCCCTTAGACTAAAGCTGTGGATTCTCCCTAATTCGTACTATTGTAGAATGAAGGCAATCATATAGCAGGAACCCACTTTGTATTTAATGCCATCAGTGATGCACAATCCAAAGTGGATTTAGAAGAAGAGGGAGTATGCAGCCCTCGTGATCTTATTGGACTGCAACTCCCAGAATCCCTTACAACTGGTTATGCTAGTTAGGACTGCTGGGAGCTATGATTCAGCCACATCTGGAGGGACACACATTCCTACCCCTATTTCAGGAGATGAATATTTTGCTGGACAAAGTGATATCTTTTGCACTACTTTTTATTCCTTGAATATTCTTCAACTTTAAAATGCCCTCTAATTTGTCAAAGCAAGGAAGATAAATGAGCAACTAAAGGTGAAGTACAAATATTCATGAGTAATGAATAATTATGTAAAAGTGAAGCTACATATTAGTTATTACCACCCACCTTCCATCTTAGATAATTAGATAAGTTTAGGAAAATGACAAAGAATTCTAGTAAGCCAGACAAAGTAATATATAATATGCACAGGGTATAACTTTGAAGTATTATGAATTTTAGTATAGAACTTCTAAGAGCCATACTTTGGTCAAGGCAAAAGGTAATTAGAACAAATAAAGATTAAAATTTCAAAGCTGGTTTGCTCGAATTATTTATTTAACTCAACCAAATTACTTCGTGGACAGTTCAACAGAAATTTAGTTAGTATTAAATTCCAATCTGTTCATTGACACACCCTCTCCATCTAACTAGTGATCCTCTTTAACCTAATTTATCCACTTGCATTTGTAGCCCAAGGTAATGATGTTCTTCCTCCTCATATCTGACTTTAAAAAATACATTTCATAGGATTCTCATGTCTGTCAGCTGCTTTGAAGTCACACATGACAAAAAGAATGACGGGAATATCAGGGCAAAAAAGCAAATTGAATTTATAGAGAAAGTCTTTATTTCTTTTCCAGCTCAAGAGGAACATAAGTATTCTGAATAATTCTGGTAATTCATACTATCACCAATTACCAATACAAATTTTTCCAATACAGGTTTTCCTATAGCAAAGGAAGAGGTCAGGGATCACACAGTGAAGAACCCAAGCATTTTTCTTGATCCTGAATTTTATAATTTTTCAAATTTTACACTGTTTCTCTTGTTCACCTACTATTTCAGTGAAAAGGACTTCTCTCCATCATATAAATCTAGATCTAAATGTTTTTATAATTACTTTTATTGATATTTGTATTTGATACTTTTTATGAAGTGTTGTAAACCACCCAGAGAACTTCAGCCACTGAGTGGTACAAACATTAGATATTAACATATTCTTATGGAAGTATTATTTCCATAATACTTTATATGGGGAAAAACAGACAATAATTCAATGTGCAAATTCATTCATGCTACCAGTTAGACAAAAAAAACATTTTTTAATGATACAATCCTATGGGAATACTTGAAACCTTCTAACCTTTCTACATACCTCCAAGAATGAAAGGTAGAAGGGGAAGTCACCTCCATGTTCTTCCCACCCTGGGAAACAGCTGGAGAGCTAATTTTAGCAATGACCACACTGCTTCAGAGTGAAAGAGAAGGACGATGAAACTCTGTTAGTGTTTGTCATCTCTTGGCAGTAGCTGTATCTTCCTCTCTCTTCAAGTGGGGAGAGGTCTGAGCATGCATCCCCAGCTCTGAGGTCAGAGTGATTCTGACCTTGGACCTGGCAATCTGGACAACCCCATCTAGGGGCCAGAGGAATGTCTTCAAGAATTTTACTTTCAGTAAAAGGTAGCAAATTACATTTTAAACATTTAAAACCTGAGAACTGTGCACTTTAATGAGGGACCGGGTGTTTCATTTGCCTTATTAGTTAGGCAGATTGTAGTATTTGTAATATTTCAAATAATATTTCAACAGAACTGAAAAAGACCTTGGAGTTATTATGGATAAGAGTCTAAATATGAGCCAACAATGTGATGCAGCTGCAAGAAAGGGTAAATGCTATTTTCGGATACATTAACAGAAGTATTACTTTCAAATCCCAGAAGTACCAGTTTCCCTTTACTCAACACTGGTTAGGTCTCCTCTGGAGTACTGTGTCCAGTTCTGGACACTACAGTTTAAGAAAGATGCAGACAAACTGGAAAGGGTTCAGAGGAGGATGACAAGGTTAATCCAGGAACTGGAAATAAATCTCTATGAGGAGGGATGGAAAGAACTGGGCATGTTTAACCTTGAGAAGGGAAGACTGAGGGCAGATATGATAGCGCTCTACAAGTACTTGAAAGGCTGTCACAAAGAAGTACAGAATGTCTACTCAATCATCCCAGAGTGCAGGACACAGAATAATGGGCTCAAGTTACAGGAAGCCATTGTCCAGCTAGATATCATTAATCATTTCCTGGCTGTTGGAGCAGTATGACAATAGAACCAATTACCTAGGGAGGTTGTGTGCTCTCCTACACTAGAAGCATTAAAAATGCAACCAGACAGCCATCTGAGAGGGATGGTTTAACTGAAAGTCCTGCATTGGGGGGTTGAACCCAATGGCTGGTCCCTTTCAACTCTACTGTTCCATGATTCTCTTTGAGCCTGTATATAGTTCATATTTTAACATATTATTACAGAAATTTGTTCTTCTT